TTGCAACCTATCAAAAGCCGTTCAATGCTTAAAAGCAAAAGCGCCAAATACAAGAAATATTGATGCGCAAATCAATATTGGATCCTTATATTGATCCAAAAAGCTTTAGTACGCACGATGATTACAGCATCGGCGTACTTTTATGGGAAATATCAAGTGGTCGTTGCTCGGAGGTAGAACGTGCGAGATTCTTGTTGCAGAAATCAATTTAAATTTTATGTCGGTGTTTGTATATAGGATATCAGTTTTAATAGTTTTCAAGTTTATGATTATACAATTTGTTTATAATAAATACTTTATAATAAGCTCCATGGTTAAGTTAATTTATTTACCAATAAAGAAATTACATATTTTATATTGTGCGATCCCACTCATTTTAAATGACTTCAAATTTAATATTCCTTTTAATTTCCAGAGAAAACTGCATCAGAGTTTGTCATTTTCATGTTCGTTGACTTCTATAACTTTATTTGTTAAATCAAAAGACATCAATATACAGGATCTATCGAAATATCAAGCATAAAAGCTTACATGTGATAATATAAACAATCTTCTAGGCCGGTGAGTAATTTAGCAAAGATGTACCAAATAACCTCCATGATTTGCAAACATATTATGAAATAGAGATGAAAAAAATATCTTCAGGATTTAACATCGACACGTTATCTTGATATTTTCCAAAAAAAAAAAAAAGGTTCTTTTCCTTCATCTGAGTATTAACTAGTAATTTCCTTTAAGGTGAGGATCAGAATTCAAGAGCAAAAATATTTTTTGAACGTTTGGTAGCTTTGTATCTCTGCATACTATTCATTGTTTAATTATTTTGGCTTGGCAACCTTGAATCCACAACGAATGACCTTTAACGCTTGATGTTCAGCAGATCAATAATAACCGAACCAGATGTCAATGTCAAACTCTTTCAAGAGTCATAATTAAAAGAACGTTCAAAGTAAGGGATCGTGGCTTCATTAGTTTCTTGAAGTACTAATTCAGGTACAAATCTCTGTCCTTTTCATAATTTGGAAGTCAACCAACAAAGAACGGCATGTTCACATGTTTGAACGCATCTCTCAAATCCTGTTTTAGATTCACCTTTAATAACAGTATGAAATTTTAATGTATTTTTATATACGAATTTTTCCAACTGTTTAACTAATATAGAAATAAATATCATACCAATATTCTAATATCTGGCAAATATCTGCTTAAGAGGCATCGAATCATACAAGATACATAATTTTTATGACCTGCCCACATTCACTGTTTTTCCCATAGAATTAAAAGTCAGTGGAAATAATAATAAAATAAAAATGATAAATAATATGTAAAAGTCCATACCTTTGCACGTACTTCCTTAATTGTATAAAGTGCCCATGCCTCCCGCCTTTGTCCTTTTCATATTTATCTGATCAACCATTCCTATCAAAAACCTTTTGTAAACATTCCTTCGGATATAATTATCAAAGAGCAACCAATAGAATTAATAATTCCTCAAAAACATGATCATTCACAGGCTCTGCCTCTTCCGAATTCTCTTTAGGAGTCTCGCTTATATTTTCTTCGGGAATAAATAATGGTCAAACCATGAAATGTTGATCCGTAAATTCAATCTATTTTAATATATGACAACAGCATGTTGGTCTTGGAAAATTTTCTCCGATCTCCGAAATGTTAAAAATTATGCGTTTATACCTCACTCAAACATGTAAATTTCGAAGAATCTGCATAAAGTTAGAACTTTGACGCCATTACAACACACCACTGCTCGATAACAACATTGGTCATATTCTCAACTATATTGAAAGAATCCTCAGCGACATAGACGAAGATGTTGACGCTCAATTAGTAGAACATTATCTGAATTCCAACTGCTTTGCTGAATTTTTTGGGGGAAGGAACGCCTGAGCACCTTAAGCGTTACTAATGGTCGTTGCTAAATGTCTTAAAAGATCTTCATGTTCTGATTTTGGTAATTGGGAGATTTACCCACTATTTCTATTTTTATTTAGTTAGTTCTGTTAGTTTAGTTAGTTTACTTTATTTTTTTAAAAATGTGATAACCATTGCAACACTTTGAAAAAGATCTTCCTTTGAAAATAAAATACTGTATCTATGAAATGACATCAACGAAATCTTTGGCATTTACAGGAATTGTCTAAGTATATATCCCAATGATCATACAAAGCTTCAGAAGATTTTATCTTCTTACTCCTTCTGTTATTACTAATCATTGTTTTGAAGTTGTAAATTATTGCTGCGACGTTCCAATGTTTTAATGAAATTAGGATAATTAAATAAAGGTTTCTTAACCTTTGATACAAATGTAATCCCAAAATCTTTGAAATTTGCTTCCATAAAATCATAACGATAAGGTCATCAGAAAATGAATCATGGAAACAACCCCTACACATTTTCAAATAAGAACATCAATTTAATCACCATTTTATCACGAAAGTAAAGGATAAACAGTAATACCTTAAAAACTCGATATCTAAAATTTTCTCGCACTGAACTATCTGCTTAAGGATTGCATGAAGTTGAAACAACAAAGTTTTAATTTAAACTCAGACCAACAGAATTATTTCAGCTTGCTCCAGCGGAAAATTGAAGAAATTTTTGGAACAAGGCAATCGGATATTACAAATACTTGCTGATGACATTTTTCTAGTTATAACGAGGTTTTTTTTTTTTAAAAAAAAAAAATTATAAATATTAGGCGGTGCGATTTTTATTTTATATGATAAATCATGTGATACAAAAAATTTAATTAATATAACTTATTAAAATTTTATTATAACAATTTTTTTTACAAGAGTTACTTATTACAGATAAACGATGAGACTTTTCTATATTACAAATATACATAATAAATAAAAAGGAATTTTGACCAGAAAAACTTCTAATTTACGCAATTATCAAAAGTGTTCTCCATTAATTCTCTAACTTTCTAAGACCAAAAACCAGCAAAAAGTACTTCCAAATCCTTGCAATGATCAAATAGATTTTCCATCATCCCCCTGATCGGCCGGAGCGTAGCGAAGGACTCAACTGCACCGATTAGAAAATATTTTCATGGGGAGTAACTTCATATGACTCCCCATGAAAGCGCCATTCTATAGGCTATGGCCGTTAGCATTTGCAATGAGGTCTTCTTTAGTTAGAGGGAGGAAAGGTGAGAATGAACGAGAAGTTCTAGGCATTTTATTTTGTGATTTAATTAATTAATTAATTATTATTTATTTTGTTTAATTGTTTATTTTATTTTATTTTATTTTTTGATAAAAAGTGAAATTTTTTTGTCGACTTTTTCTGCCCTGCTTATTTATTTATATTGGTCAAAAAAGTTGATTTGATTTTATTTTTAATAATCTTTCTATTTTTACAAATGGAAATTATTTACCCTGGTATTATTTACACAGTTGTGTCTAAAGACACGATAAAAAATAGAAAAAAAAAATGGATTGGGAAAAATTCCGTTTTTTGTAACATGATAGATAACCATTCTTTTTTTTTAATTAAAGACAAAGAAATTTCTATGATAAGAAATTATATTACATCTACATCTTCATATGACAGATTTCGATAATCGAGAAATATTTTTAAGGGTAGACAGTACAATAGTAAATGGAACTTTGATTGTTATATCTTTTTTCACAAAATATACATTCTCGTATAAGAACAATATCATAATTTTTAATCATTCATGTTCCGACTAGAATGGTCTTTTTTAAACTTTGAATGAACTACTTAACCAGTTGACTTGTGTCCCATTTGGTTAAACAACATAATTGTGACCTAAAAGGCGTAGTTTTTTTCATATCACCAATTTATTGATACGAGAGACGCAGTAATGTGAATTGGTTAATAATTCAACTTTACTTAGGGTTGGGGTGATACGATAATTGATTAGAGGTAATGGCAAACGCCATTGGCAAGAAAACTTTGAACTTTGCGATCACATTTATAAAATTAAATAACCGAAATTTATATGTTTCTGTTCGTTCAACATTACTCTCAACCCTCCAATTCCATCATGAATCCTCTCATTAACTTTTTTAATTGTTCTGTTTTGCTTAAAATCATTACTAATTCATAATGTTCATGAAAATGTATTTACATAAAATATCAATTGCAAAATAAACGATGACAATTAAGTGATGGTAATCATTTCCTTTTCTAGATTATCTTAATTGCAGGCAAGTAATTGGATGATGTTTTTTCATTAGACTGAATAGCATTTAAAAAAATGAATTAAAAAACTCTACCAATTAATTAGTTTTTTTTTTTTAGAATTTCTAAGATATTATTTTATATTAAAAATAAAAATTTTTTTAGAAAAGATATAATTTATAATATTGATCATAATAATTTAATATTTGATTACAATTTATTAAAAAATTAAAATATATTTTATTAAAGAGAAATTTTATATAGAAATATTTAGTAAAATCAAAGTTATAAGATATAATAAAACATATTCTTAATATAACTATATTATTAATATTTTTAAATAGTAATTTTTAATAAATAAAAAAAAGTTTTAACATTTATTTATTAAATTAATATTAAAATTAATTTTAATAATTTTTAAATAATCCTTTATAATTATTTATAATTTAACTCTAAAAATAAAAATTTATTTTTAATTTTAAATTTATTTATTTTAGTTAAAATAAACATATTGTTTTTGTATAATTTTTTAAAAAAAATATTTTGCATTAATATTATTTTTAAAAACTAATAAAGAAATATATATATTATTAACAGAAAAAATTGCAACTTCAAATATCACATAAGATTTTACCAATTAATAATGATCTTACATTAGATGATCTTTTAACTTCGCTAAATAATAATTAACAATGATTTTTATTTTGCTTGTTTTTTTTATTTTTTCTGAATTTTCTTTACTATCTGTTTATTCTGTATACTTTATTTTATTTGTAATTCTTATAACGTTTATAATTTATTTTATTTCTTTTATTATTTTATAGTTTATTTTACTTTTATTATTTTATTACATTTAAGTATAATTTATTAGAATATATATCTATATTTAATAATTTATAATGTAACAAGTAGTTAGCAAGATCCTAAATATTTCTCATTTAACTTATAAGTGATATATAGTAAAATGTATTTTTTACAATAACTTGGTTAATATCAATATTAGAGATATAAGTTTACTATTATTATTTCTCTTATTGAGATGATTCAAATAACATTAAAATTGTCTAAATCCAATTATTAGTAAGCTTAAAACTGGAATATGTAGAATAATAAATTTTAAAAACTCTCCTATAATACGTAATTTTTGCTAAAATTTATATATAAACTTTATGTAAACTCTAATTTGAATTTTATAAGAGATTTTAAGATTCTTAGTTAACTGTAATAATTTAATTTTGTATAAATAGAATAGCTTTTTACTCAAATTATAAATTAACTTTTTTACAAATATTAAGTTTTAATATTATTAATAAAAGAATAAATTAAAAACTACACAAATTACTTTTTACTTTAATATTATTTTTATTTAAGATTTGTTATGAAACATTACATTAATTTATTTTTAAGTTTATTATTATTAAATAATATCTTAAATTCTAAGACATAATAAATTGCTGAATTAATTCAAGTATAATAGATTCCTATAAAACTTAGAAAAAATCTTACTCTAATATGTAGAATCAATTACTGTAAACTTTTAACTTAGATATTAAATGACTGAAAATAAATTTAGTGACTAGGGTTTTGTATAAGCTAAGCCATTTGCAAATCAAATAAGTCAGCTTTTTAGACTTGACTTGAACCACTATAAAATGAGTTATAAACTAGATAAATTAACTTATACTGTGACTTAACTCATACTATAACTTAATTTGTTAATTTGCATTTTTTTTAATATAAATCTAAAGGTATTTTTCTTTAAAGAAAAGTTGTTCTAATAGCATTTTTTTTAAAAAAAAATAGTACTAATGATATTTTTTTTAAAGAAAATGCATTTAGTGATATTTTTTTGAAAAAAAAATATACTTGATGATATTTCCTTTAAAGAAAAACATACTAGCAATATTTTCTTAAAGAAAAATTTATCTAAAATTGAATTTCTTTAAAGGAATTTACTTCTAAAATTGTAATGTCAAAAAATTACTTTAGAAGCATTTTCCTTAAAGAAATGCTTTTAGAATTATTAATTTTTAGAAAATTATCTCAAAGTATTTTTTTTTAAAAATATATTTTTAGAAGTAATTTTCTTTAAAAAAAATGCTTTTAAAAGTAATTTTCTTCAAAAGTAATACTATCAAAGTAATTCTATTAAAGAAAATATATTTAGATATAATTTCTTTAAAGAAAAAGCTATAGAGACGATTTTTTCAAGAAAATCATTCTAAAAGTGATTTTCTTTAAAAAAAATCTTCAGAAACATTTTTCTTAAAGGTAATCATTCTAAATATTTCTTTCAAAAAAATCATTTTAAAAACATTTCTCTTAAAGTAAATTATTCTGAAAATATTTTTCTCAAAGAAAATCATTTTGAAAATGTTTCTCTTAAAAGAAATTATTTCAAAAATATTTATTTTAAATAGATTATTTTAAAAATGTTTCTTGTAATTGAAATGTTTTCTCAATAGAATTTTATTTCAAAAAATAAACTAATTAAGTTAAATTATAAGCTAGCTTAATTTGATTTAAATTATCAAATGATCTTTTTAAATTGAACTAAAATAAAAATGACTTGACTTAAATTAATGGAAAACTAAACTATATTAGTTTATACAGAGCTTTACCAGTGATAATATAATTAAAAATTTAATATAATTAATTTAAAAATATTATAATACTTTCTAAAAATTCTAATTTATAATACTTTTTTTAAATAATATAATAAAACTTTTATTATTTATAATCATTTTTAGAATAAATTAAAAAAATTATATAAAACTGTAAAAAAAAAAAAGTAAAATTGTTTTAATAGAAAAATTATTTTCAATAAAATTAATCAAATATTTTATATTATTTAAAATTCAAATAAATCTATTAAAATCTTTTTATTTAATATTTTTAGACAAATAATTTGTAATAATATCTTTAGTTTATTAGTTTTTTTATTTTTAATTTTTTTAATCTTTTTCATTTTTTTTTTTAAACAAATTTATTTAAAGGATTTATTGTTAAATAAAATTACATATTAAAATATAATTTTTAATAAATTATTTAATATTTTATTGATTTTATATTAATAAATAATTACTTTTTTTTTTAGAATAAAATTATATTAATTAAGTATATATAAAAGATAAAATTAATAAAAAAAAATGTGATAAAGAATTTCAAAAATATTATTAATTTATTAAAAGTTATTATCATAATAAAAATATATTTAATAAATTATATATATTGTCTGAAATTTAATAAATGAATTATAAAAATGAAATATTTAGTAATAAAAAAAAAATATTATAAAAGTTAATATATTAAAAAGTAGATTTTAAAATATTCAATGTATATAAAAAGGAAAAAAGTATTAGTTATTTATAATAATAAAGAAAACTCAAATTAAAGGATAATATTTAGAAATTATATGTTAAATTATAATAACTTTTGTTTAATATTTCACATTTTATATGTAAAAACTTTTAATCATTATAATAAAAATTTTTTTTATAAATTATAAATTTATAATAATTAATTATTAATTTATAAATTTTTTTTTATTCTTAAATGTCAAAATACTTAAAGATTTTGCAATTATATTATTAATTTTTACTAAATTTTACTATTATAGATCTTTATTTATTATAATTTTATTATCTAATAGTTTATCAAACAATTTATTAATATTATTATTTTTCTTAGTAGATTTCTTAATATTTTAAAAAATATAAATATATAATATAAATATTTCTTTTATTATTGTATTATTGCTAATACTTTCTTTTTTTAATACAACTAAAGTTTTTACATAGTATATTTTATAAGATATATATTTTAGATAATATTTTTTTTGTTACTTCTTGAAGGTTTTTTTATAGCATTATTTTTCATTTAAATTGAAACTTATTATTAAAAAGTCATCATCAATATTATTATATAATAATATTATTAACATTGATTTTTATACTAACAAATTTATGCTTAATATTTTAATATACAATATTTGTTTTATCAACCTTTCTTGATCATTTTTTATATTTTATTTAGTAATTATATTTATTATATAATAATTATTTAACATAAAATAATAATTTTTTAATTTTTACTATTCGTGATCAGCATAGCACAGGCCAATAAAATTGATCTCTGATCTGACATTAACTTTTTATATAATGAAATAGTAGAAGAAAATTATTGATACTAAAAGTCAAATGGGCGACCATTATAACTTTACGATCAATTGATTTTTCTTTATTGCATTATAGCACTCCTCAAGGATTTTTAGATATAATTCTATCGCTCATCCCAATCGTTGGAATTTTTGTAAAGACTAAGAATCTTGAACTAATAATGTTAAGATAACTCGTAGAATCAGATATTTAAAAAGGTAATAAAGTATCGTAATACTCTTCTTAATAGATATTATATTGGAGTCTCCTCATTATCTGATTCTTCTTATGACTAACAGAAGTCTCTCATGCAAATAATGGGCCCATCTTTAGATGTTGTATCAGCTTTTCTGAACTGTATTTATAGGTCTGGTCAAAATACCTATTACAAGAAAAATTTCAATTGAAACAGAAATTACAGTTCTTTTGAAATTAAATTCATACGTTCCTCGTCGTAATTTCATCTTTGATAAGAATCTTTCACGTCATAAACAGAAATGATAGGGTTATATTTATTACGCTGAAAGGGTCATATAAATACTTATGAAATCTTTGCCGAGATTATACATTGAACAAATATATCACTGAACCTTTACGACTTTAAATTTGCATTAGAATTTAGATTTGGTGTTAGATTGGCAATACTTCATAAAAGCGCTTGGGTAATAGATCTAGTGTCGCATATCATTAAAAGATACTCCTATTATGGTTCCTGAACTTCACGAATCATTATCAAAATGGCTTTTGCATAAGAATGATGCTGAACTTTCAAAGCAGTGTGATCACTTTGTAAACATTTTTTCCTAGTCGAACTTAACAATTATTTGTTAAACCAACTCAATGGTATATTAAATCAGTTGTATAAGCTTATGATATTGGAAATCTGGAATTACTTTTGGAAAAGAAATCAATATGTTAATTATTGATTCAAACCTTAATCAACACTTACTGCAATCGATCTGGAAAAATATAAAAAAGATATTTCGCAAATTACGGGAACGTGTATGTGGGTTCTATATGCTTTAGTAAAATTAGAAATTTTCAAATGGCTATCAATATTATTGGTAATACACATAGTACGAGTTAAGAAGTTTAAACAACTCATTGATGCTTAACATGAATGAAATCACGGAATGGATTGTTGAAACTATCAACTGACAAGCGTGAGTTGCAGTGAATGATGAGTGTATAATTGGTTAGTTTATTCAAATTATTATAATATTCTTGTAATATTTCAAACCATTTTATGTAGATCCTGCATTCCTACTGGATCGTTAAAACATTTACATATTAGTTGTCGTACTATATAATTCATAAAGTACATACATGTATATCTAAGAAATAGTCGAAAAATTCCTGCGTAGACGATGGATTTTTGGGTAGTGGTGATGTGCTAGGTTCAGATCGATATATAGATGATGGTGCATCATTAGACCAGACAGCAATGGAACTTTTTAAGTTTTATAAGTGGTAGTACTGTAACTTTGAATGGTAAATAAATAATATAGTTATATTTCCTTATCTTCATTTTAATGTATTAATGCTGTTCTTTTATCATAGGCATTATTTTTTACTAAAACATTTTTATACATGGATGTCAAAGAATTTGACTTTCTGATAAGGAAAATTTTACGATTTTAAAATTGCTTATAATCTAATTTAGTGCAATAGTAAGTTTGAAATTCTATCTGATTGATTTATTAATTAGTTTTTGAATGGTGCCATTTAGTTTCTTATTATCTTAGTCTTATCCAGTATTGAATCCGATTTCTTGTCATCAAAATCTGTCATTTCAACGCAGCCACTTGGGTAGCTTCATTAGTATCATAAATGTATTAACAGACGAAGCCCAGAAAGATTCCGGTTCTGAGAAGCTCACCTTCATGTAATTCAAATTACATGTTCCAGTCAGTGAAGATATTAGCATTTCCAAAGATTGGCTACTTAGATGGCTGAAAATGAATGCATAATAATTCATCCATCACCTGGTAAGACATTTTTTTTTTCATTCGTCTTAAAATTACTGAATTAATTCTAATTATAATGATAGAGTCAATCATTATCTATTAATGCTAGCATTCGGATACTTTCATTTCAAAATGTTTTCTGATATTTAAACAAGCGTGACCATAACCGTTTTCAACATTTTACACTCAATATCAAAGTTATCATTGTGTATGAAACAACAGTTATAGAGATCTGTGTTTCTTCATTATTTCATGTTGTGTTAAAGGTTCAACATCTCGTCGTCAACAGACAAGAGAAAAGATTCCTTATGATGTGGTATTGGCAAAATTAGATATAGCTGGTAGATTGGCTGAGACTTAATATTAGAGATAAAAATTTCATGCAGAACCTTCAAACTAAAGAGTCACGTCGCAAACCTTTGAATGCAAACGATATTGATAGGCCTGGAAAATGTTACCTAGTAGGATGGATCAGTTCTTGTAGGACTGGTAGATAGATATATATCAAAGCCATATAGGAGTTAGATCAAATTTAGAAAAATAACGTTTTGGATAAATGTTGTAAGGAAGGATTTGGTATATAATATTTTAATCATATACAAGAAGTCACGTGACTTATGTCTTATGCTTTTTTTATTTTTAATTTTTTTTTTTAAAAAAAAAACTTAGTTATCGGTTTTCTATAAAAGGAAATGAACAATTCAATCAAAGAAGCGAGAATTATGGTTGACAAGTACAAAGGCATAGATTTATTAAACAAATAAGGGAATATTTGAAAATGGATAGATAGTAGGTTTCAAACAAGTTATTAGCTTTATTTAATTATAACATAAACAATTAATAAATTTGTTTGCTCGACATTAAATGGAAAGTAAATAAACCTTTATTTGATACTGCCGAAATTACATCAATAAAATCGAATTCAAACATCAAATTCATGATATTTGGATTCAACTTTTTCCAAATCTGCTTAAACATATACTATTTAATGAAATTTTCTTTAATCTTGATTTAAGCGATAAGATAATTTTTGAACTAGGAATACTTGTGCCTCTTTGAATGCCGGTTCATAATGGAAATTTGTATATATGCAATTGCGTTATATACTGTACATATTTAAATTTTTAATTGTGCTATTATAGATTCATTAATTATCTAAATAAAACAAGCTTCTACAGAACATTATCGATTTGTGATTTTATTATTAAATAAAAATGATTTAGAGGGTAGTTGAATAGGATTAGAAAATAAGAGGTTGCTTTTATTTTGATAATAAATACTATAACAAATATAATCTTATACTATTATAACTATAATTATAACTAGAAACATTAGCTACTTCATCGTTAAGCAATATCTGCATCTCCCACCACGATCATCTACCTGATCTAATCATCACCATTTCTGAATCTGCGCATATCACTTGACTAGCAAATGGAGATTTTCAATTTGCGCAAGTTTGAAAAGGTTAAGTACCTTTTTAACATCACTTTCTAAACTTCCATTATTCAAAAGCTTTTATTTATAGCTTTAAACGTGGCTCGGGTAATAAAATAAGTTTGCTTGCCAACTGTCCTTTTAAATTTGAACCCTATCGGGCTTATCTAATTTCATCTATCCTCTTTTCTGAAACCATTATCTTCTGGTTCAAAAGGTTTTTTTTTTTCTCTCTCTCTCTCTCCTCGATAGCTTCATATATTTCAACTTTTTTTTCTTCAACTTCATTTTGAAGTTTAAATCGGAAAGGATTTTTTTTCTCTCTCTCTTTCCGATAGCTTCATATATTTCAACTTTTTTTCTCGAAAGTTCCATCTTTTCATTTCTAACTTCGTTTTGAATTTTAAATTGGAAAGGAAGGTTTTTTTTCTCTCTCTCTCCTTGATAGCTTCATATATTTCAACTTTTCTAGAACCATTATCTTCTCTGGTATCAAAAATTATAGGTCATATATATGTAAGGTTTAAGTTTAAGTATAGAATAAATTTGTTGCAGATTTATCATCACAAAAAATTCCGTTTGTGATCTTATATTCACACTTGATTGGTTCTTTAAATACATTTGATTGATATAATTCATATCAATAACATAATTTGTTTAAATTAAAATAATAATTAATAGATGATAGTATTATTGAATTTCTATATATAAAATTATAATATGATTTATAAATAAAATAAGTTTATAAATTAATAATTTTAAGGTGTTTAGTAATTTTTAATAAAGAATATAACATTATTGATCAATTCTAATTTTTTTTTGATTAAAAAAACTTATTTAAAAACATTTTTCTTATATAACTTTAATTTTACTTAATTTAATCATTCATAATTCTTTTTTAACTGCAAATATTAATTTCTTTAAGAATATAAAAAATAAAGAGATTTTGTAAATTAGAATTATTTTTTTATATTAATAAACTATTAAGTATTAAATATTATTATTATTAAAATTATATTAATTTTAATATTATATTTTATTATAATCTTTTTGATTTAGATATATGCAAAAATAATATAAAAAAATCATAAATAACTAAATTTCATATTCTATTAAACTTATAAATAGATTTCAATAACTAATACATTAAAATATTAATTAAAAATTATTGCTTTTTTTTATAATTTTAGAAATCCTATTGAAAGAATCAAATTAAATAAAAAAAAAATTAATTGAAATTTTATATATTACTATTTTAGCAAAGTGAATATTATTTTAGATAATGTAATCTTAAAATTCTATAATTTCTAGACTAAAATCAATTTATATAATAAAAATTCAAAAAAAATAAAATATTTTTTTAAATAATATTAAAATAAAATCTATTAATTTAATATCAGTTTAATTTATTTATTTTTATGATATACTAGAAAATTTTCTTTATATATAAAATACAAGTTTATTAAACCAAATTTATTACAATAAAATTATATATTACAGTCAACTCTTGATATAATGAACTTTTAAACAAATATAATAAAATACTCTTGTTATAGCAAATTGACCAATCAAATCTCTTAAAATTTTTATTATAATCTTATAGCGAAATTGAGATCTAGAATATAAAATTCGTTATAATAAGAGTTGACTGTATATACTATATAATATTAAATTTATTATAAAATTTTATATTTTAAATTTTTTCACTTATTTTTTTTATAAATATAATTTAATTACTTAAACAAATAAAAAAATAAAAAATATTTTTTTTCTTATTTTTATAAATAAAACTAAATATTAATAGTAAATATAATTATTTAATAAAAAGTATATAAATCATTTTTGTTAATGTAATTACTTAAGAAAAATTTAATATAGTATTTTCTAGTTTTCATCAGATTTATATATAATTAATATATCAAAAGTAAAATTATAAAATAAAATAATGTAAATTTTTATTTTTTAAATTTTATTAAATAAAATATCAATTATAAAAATAAAAAATATAAACCTTATTTTTAAAAATAATAAACTTATTATCTCTATCTAATTTATAAAAAAACTTTATTTTAAATTTAACTATATAATTAGCTTATAATTTTTATCTAATTTTATTTTAAATATATTATAACTGCTAAAAAATATAAAATATATAAGTCAATTATAAGGGTTAAATACTATAACAAATATAAATAATATAAGTTTAAAAAATATAATTATTAATTAAAAATCTTTATTATAATTGGTATCCTATATAAAGAAATTTATAATTTTAATATAATAAATTTTATTAATCTTAAATTTAATTATAATTAAATATAATTGATTTTATATAAATATATCATTTTTTTTAATTTCTAATAAGTTTAATCAAATTAAAAATAATAATAAAATTAAGAAATTTTTTTTTTTGCAAATTATTAATGATAATAATTTTTAAAATATTTTATAAATATTTTGATTATTAATTCTTAAACATAAAGAATATATTTAAAAATTTTAAGTTTTATCTAAAAATCTATGTCTTATAAATTAAATTATTTTTAATTAAAGCTCTAAACTAAAGATGATCACTACAATTAAAAAATGATGCAATTGAGTTGCAACTTATAACGCAATTAAATTTTGTTATAGCGTAATTAAGTTGCAACTCAATTGAAATTTAAAAATA